AAAGATCACGGCTAAGGACCTCTTCAAGCTTTCTTTTGTTTTAGCCCCTCTAGGCCCTTTGCCTTTTTATGGTTTTTTGCACAGCTGTTAATTATAAAAAAGCATATTGCCGAGAGGCTGTGTATGTGTATTTTATTTTGTGTGTATACGTGTGTATGTGTGCGTGTACGCGTGTTTGTGCATGCGTGCGTATGTAAACTCAAAAAGTAATAGTAGTGCTTCACGAATAAACAGTGATATGTTAAACTGTCTGAAAATAATACGGAATAACAAAAATCAGGTAACAAAATGATTTCGAGATACCACAGTAAGCGATAATAGGAAATGATTAATGGTTGAAGAATAATGATTATTATGTATTATTCGGACTGTTTCGCTGCCACAACCTACGTATTCAGACTGGGATTCAGAAATCGTGTTTTGTTTCAGTGGCTTACAACAACGAATCGATGGTCCAAGAAAGAGTGTACTTGTGGTGCAGGCGATTCTGGAAACAATTCCGTGTAGCGGTAGGCTATAAAAAGCAAAATTTCCCGGAGTTGTTCTCCAGGCGCAAACAACTGGAGTTGGTGGTAGTCAGTTAGATTTTCCTCGAACGATGCCAATGCATCCTTCTTGCTTGGATCTGCGGCCAGCGCAGCAACCATGGCCATTTCTTCCGGACCTTTTCTGGCCCATATTTGACGAACATTCTCCATCTGGTTTTTGGGTTCTATATCAACCATGCAGTGTGATCGTACTCTAACGGAATTATTAAACTTCACTGAAGTTATGTGACACACAGGAATTGATTGATTTAGAGCACTGAAACGAGCTTCAACATCGCCGAAGGAACGAATGCCAGAACGGGCCTGAAAAAAAAATGAAGAAAATTAGAAAAGGACAGTACTGGCCCAGATCACGGTGATATAATAAGTTCAAAAACAGTTTTTGTCAGTGTGTGTCTGTACATTATTTCTGTGGTAATTGAACAGGGTGGGAGAAGAGGCTGAGGCTTGAACTGAGGAAGGAGATGGAGTTACAACTAAAGAAGCAGATGGCCGGAAAAACAGTATGAGGTAAAAAATAAGATTAGGACGGACCAAATTGTCCTGGACGTGCATCTGCCTGTTTTGCGGTTACTGTAAGGACCTCAGGTTATCGAAGCCACACAATAAAACTCTTGAAAACAATAGGTTGTTACTGAGGAATAAATACACGAATTAGCTGTCCTGTTAAATCAAGAGGACATCATGCGAATTCCTCGTTGTGCGTAAAGCATAACGGAAAAGGACAGATTTATACTGGCAGAGACAACTTTGTCGCTAGCAAGACGCCATCTTAACAAATCATCTTAGACTAGACTCCTGTTAGATACATAAGGTGCATAATAGCATCTGTCATTTTTTGTGCCCAGCATGGAACACTCTCTCAAAAATAAGAAGGAACTTGGAGTACCGTGCTGAGTTCATATCAGTTTCACCCTCAAGTCTACGCATGCGGTCGTGACAGACGATTTTAACGCTAAAACTTGTGCAAAAGGAGATTGGACTGGATATGAATATGTTGGGATGTATGAAATTGGCAAAAGAAACGGCCGAAGTGATAGACCTTACCGTAATGGGCAGACA